TTTATCATGCACATTTCCTATGTTGCAAAGAGAACTACACTGACCATTTACAGAAATCGTTGCCGAGAAATCCCACAGTGTTATAAACAAAGCCAAACCATCTAAAGGAAGTTATGTGCAAATAACCAAACCCATCCAGGCGAGCCTTTCTTTCTTATATGCTTAGGCTCCGTCGGCTGACACACACATGGGCTCCGGGAACAATAATGGTCACAGCTCTAGTCTCAGAGCCTTTGGTTCTCTTAGTCTGGAGACCATCTGCTGAAAGAATCGTAAGACAAAAGGTGGTTTGGCATTTCTCGAATCTCGCAGGGGATTTAAATTCTCTGTCTGCCTTTGTCCTGTCTTTTCTAGCTGGCCCCAATCTCGGAAAATAAATTGACAGACACGTCATCAAAATCTTGCTCAAGCCTGGTTAAAAACGATAGATAACCCTGTTCGTGCTCTGGTCTTAAGCCCTGGTCGCGAGTGTCTCACGCTCGCGCGGCGCTCTTGTTGGACAGCATGGAATACCCAGACTCTATTCTAATGAAAAGACTCTAAACCCTAATATTGTGATGACAGCATTATCTTTCCTTAACCAAGTGACCCCGGAGAAACTTGATTAAACTTAATTAATCCATTTCTAAGAGAGAATCGCATCCAAACGCGAGCTTCGAATAGTCGGGAGCTCTATTCACCAATTAGAGCAACCCTGTGAGTTGTTGTTTCAATGCGAAACAAAAAGTTAAGGATCCTCTTGCGTTATATCTTAAACTTTATTTGTGGAGTACAGTTTGAAGATGACAATATTCTTAAGCGCTGATTTGTTTTAACCACGCCCTTTTTTTTTTGCTTGCCAATTAAACTCGTTATATAGACAGTCGGGAATGATTGGGTAAGTATAGATCGAAGGTTGTAAGGCCAAACGTCGTGCTGATGCCGTGCCAAACTCAAATGAATTTGGCCCAGCAGTGACATGACAAAAGAGCGGCAGTGGTTTCAAACGTCGAATTTCATCCAGTCGCGGAAGATCGGAAGAAGTTTGCTTTGCTGAAGGCCATTTGAAATGGTAGAAAGCAGCGGCAGCCGATGCAGTAAGCTGTGAATTCAGTTGGGCACGGCAAGAGCACGCCGTTTGAGGCCAAGTCGTGCTAATACCGCGCGGCATGGACAAGGCCTGCCGTGCTACGTAATCGTGCTGAACATAATTCAGCCTACTTTGACCCTTGTGAATGTTTTTTATTACCATTTTTTGTCACGGTCTAGGGAATTGATTCCGCGACACCAACAAATTTCTAACGCGACGAAAAATAACGCCATCTAAGAAAGATTTCAAAACCAGACTTCAAAATTCCTCCGTCACGTGTGATCGTGTTCAATCTTATGGCATGATGAAGGAAAGGAGAGCAGTCTCGAGCCCAGAACCTTACTTTTTGTGATGCGAGGGCTCTGGGAAATCGAGGCCATGAATGTAAGTAAGAAACTTTATTTTATGAGGGTAACACTCAACAGTAATTAAAATTACATACAAACTTGTGGCCCTCTAAAAGTAAAATACAATTCAATCAAAAACCTACACCTAATAATAAAGCCGAGGTCTCAAAAGAGATCAGTTAGCCTCTGGGAAACGTAAACGTAACCAAACATTCCAGTCCATAAACAAAATGGCATCCGGAGCTTCTGGATCTGTAAAGTCGTAGATTTGGTAGAAACTTCGACGTTTTAATAAAAAAGCAGTCACGGTTTTGATATTCCTCCATAATGAAAGCATATACTTAGGAAACCCTGCGACTGTCGTAAAGTTGTTATTTTGATGTACTTCCCCTTTCCTTGGATTGTTCCGGATATTTTAAACTCTTTTTCTCCCGTTCTTTTGAATGTAATGACAAGATTACGTCGTCACATGTGTGCCTTTTTCGTGCTTTCTTTTATCGCTGCTTTTCTGTCAACGTTTTTCATTTTCTACCCAGGGTTTGTATTTGCCAATCGCCGGTCCCCAGGAAAGGTTGCGCCTTAAATTCATTTTTTTTTCGCTTAATGATCGGAAACGTTGACAATTGTTTCAATCGAAAATCAAAGCCATACTCGTACTGCCTTGCGTGTCAAGTATGCATTCTCTTCTTGAATTTTCTTTCTTACCTACTAGCTTGGTGCCACCCAGTTTGTATCAACTATTATGTGACATAAGTCTTCAATGCCATCCTTTTATCTATATTTTACAAGATTTTATTTCCGTCCATATTCTCAGAGGTCACTAGGTTTTGTGCCCGTTGCCTTCAAAACATTTTTTGAGTTCTTTTTCAGGTTACACGACATCTTACGTCCTTACCTCGGTTAGGAACAATTTTGCGTTTATTTAAAGAACATACAAGGGAACGCTTTACTTCTTCACTGAACATATTCTTGCGCTATACTGATAAACTTATCCTACTTGTATTTAACTCCGCCTAGACGTTCCTTAGGAATATCTAGCCGGTCCCAAGCCCGGATAAAGGAGGAGGGTTGGACGTGTGGTTGACGACCCCACCCCGTAAAATACGACCTTTATTTAGAAACAGTACATTCAAGTCAAGCAATTGTGGGGAAACAAGGTACTCCGAGTAGAAGGTAGCACCCCGTACAAAGGGTGTTGACTGGCGGACGGAATACTATCTGATTCTTGTATTCTTTGACGTTATCAATAAATAAACAAGGCCTAGTGGTTTAATGGCGGCTGTGCAAATTATATTTGACTTCCTAGCCCCTTCTCTTCAGTTATAGGATCAGTCAGACGGGGAACTTCCTATGGCATCGACAACGAGAACGTAGCAGAGAAAACGTTAAATGAGCAGTGCAACGGCCCTGAAAATGAACTAGACATATTTGAACATTTTCCTAGCAGTGATCGGCGAGACGACAAGCAAAAGGTCAGAAATTTCACCTTCAGGGCAAAAAGAGGTTATGTCTGGAATGGATATTTAATTTAGCGGCGCTTATCAGAGTAACTCAACAGCGTTTCAACCCCCTGTTACAGAAGAAGAATTTTCCAAGAGACATAGCACATTTCGAAGCTAGTCCACCTAATAATTTTTTCTAGCTCGCGGGAAACCTTGCGGGAATTCTGTGGAACGAATCCCTAGGGTGACCCTTTAATTAGCCTCAGTTTCTTTCTTACCCAGTTACCGGCTCATAACATTCCGTTTTCTAAGCTCGCTTTCAATACCCGAGTATAAGATTTCCCGTTTATAAGTCCAGTTAAAAGAAATTGATTTGTATTCCCAATGCTTCTAACCAACAGGAAAGCACTAGTAAAAAGGCAAAAACGTCCCTTACAGTCAGAAAAATACAACACTGGTCAGGCTGTTGGCCATCAGAAAGTTCTTTTCCGCTTCGGATAGGCTGCTAACCCAGACGGATTACTAACATTCTCATGACGTAACATTGTTTTACGAAAAACACCTTCAACGGGAATCGCAGCACAAATGTTTTTGTGGAAGACTTTACGGTTAGAATTGATACTGCTACAACCATTGGTAAACTGGTTTTATTTTCTCAGCAGACTCGGTAAATACAGAAACCAGAAGTAACATCAGACGTGGAAATAAGTTATCAGCGCGAAACTTCTACTTGGCCGCGGCAATTATCCCAGCAACACCTGAAAAATAACGACATTAAACTCGGTTTGTGAGACGAGACTCTACAGAACACTAACACGCGGTAAGCGGCTTTTTTTGTAGTCGCAACCGTTGCGTGAGTGGACCTAACTGGGCAACAGGACCGTAAAACCCCACCCATCCCTTCCTTCATGCATAAGATTGCAGTTTTGTTGAGCGCATAGTGTCTTGAAATGTGCAAATGAGAACTCGGCACATCAAAGCAATATCCCCAAATTGATGAGTTTCCTCAAAATTTCTTATTTCCTCTGCTTTATGTGTTGATCAAGGAAAAATAGTGTCATTCATAATTTTTTCATTTAATTGGTCAGTAGAACTTACTCTCAAAGTCAATTTTCTCTGCAATATTCTTGGACTTGATATGAGCTTCCTGGTTGCAAACGAATACTTTTCCGTCGTCCTTGATTGTCCAGTTTTGAGCTTTTATCCAGTCATCAAGTTCTTCACCTGAAAATTGTTAACATAAACCACATGTAACAGAACCACTTCATAGATTGCTCTGAAATAAACTATGCTTTTTCAGCTCCATCCAGCCTGATGTAATTTTGTAATTTTACCTCTTGTAATTTTTTAATTTCAATTTTCTTTCGTTTAAAGTTATTTTTCTCGGTAATTTAGCATAATCTTGCTAGAGGCCTAATCAGCCTCATCATCCCGAGTTGAAATAAAGTTTATCTATCGATCTGTCTGTCTGTCTGTCTGTCTGTCTCTGTCTCTCTGTCTCTCTGTCTCTATCTATCTATCTATCTATCTATCTATCTATCTGTCTGTCTGTCTGTCTGTCTGTCTGTCTATCTATCTATCTACCAATATGTGGAAAAGGAACACTATGATGGCGACACTAAACCATGAACTGGCCTGCATGTTTAATCAACAGTCCAAGAACACTGGTTACTCATCACTGTGAATGAAAACCACTTCAACAATGGCCGGTTTACAGTTCTGTGAAATGTGTAACTGAGCCTCTGCATGAAAGTGAGGCCATGGTTGACGAGATTAGAAACTACAATAGCTAGCATGAGAACTGGATAAATTATATTTGAAAAGTTACAAATTTTGTATCATAACAATGTCAACTCTAGCCTTGCTTCTACTCAAAGGCCTGATCACCAAATACAGACCTGAAAAATGGGGGATTGCATTGTCAGTAGACAATAGTCCTGGGGAAAATTAAGAACATACCCTGAAAGTGAAATGACGGCAAAATAGACAAACAAAAAATGTACAAAATGTGCTAACTGGTCTCAACACAAACACTTCTGTCAGTGAAATGTTAATCTGTTGACAGTGATGAAACATACCTTGCAACCCTCCAAGAAGTTCTGATATAAGGTTTTTATCTATTGTTTGATATGTTATTCCTATGACATAACTGGCATCTATCAAAAAAAAAAGTTGTGAGCTAAAAATTAATACTACAAAAGGTAAGAAAGAGGTTCCTACTTGATCTAAACAAATGCAAACAATTAAGAACTCTTTGGGAACCATTTAGAATGCTCCTTTTGTCCATGGAAATGTTAGCCAGTATACTACAAATTCTAATGCTTGTTCCACGTGGCATTGTTCCAGGTGGGATATCCAGAAAAAGTTATGATTTGATCTTAATTGTAACATTTATCTAAAAGTAACAAAATACGTAATTGGTAGCCACTGAAGTCCAGAAGAATTGGTGTTATTTGACTAAACCTGGCTTAGCTGGAATGAACATCTGGCTACCACACTGATCAGCCTCTCATTTTTATTTGTGGCAGTCCAATAGTGAGCTGTTGCACTTGTTAATCCAGTTACCATCATCTACATGTAGTGTTTTTAGGGGAGCTACCTGATAAGCATTTCCTAATTTGTTTGACATTATGAAGACAACAGAATAACTTGTTTGTAATATGCTTATAATCAACAACATACCACTACAGTGGAATCCCGATTTCTCAAACTTTCGATTTTTTGAACCTCCTGAAAACTCAAACCAAAAGTCTCCCTCTCCTCAGTCAAACACTGTAATTTTACCCCTGATTTCATGAACTATCTGATTTTTCGAACCAGTTCTTGTTTCCCTTGGAGGTTCGAAAATCAGGAATCCACTGTACTTTCATCACAATACTCACATTTTCTTATTGCATCATGAAATCCTACAATGCCATCCACAAGTGAACTCTCTTCCTCTAAGTATTTCTGAAAAAAAGACCTAATTCTTACTTGCAACAACAGTTTGACCTCCCCTTGAAAGAAAGATTGAATTACTTTACTCATTAGTACCCTGTACATGATTATTGTTTGTATAAAACTCCTACCCAGGCCTCCAAAAAATTACATGTTTCCAGTAGCTCTGCGAGTCTAATGACACGTGCTATAGCTGGATCTTGTTGCTAAAATTAAATGTCAAGGTTATTAACAGTGATTTGCCCTCCAGGAAGTGGTTATTAAAAACTCAGATAAACACTGGTCACCAGAACCTAGTTTTCTTAATGCCCAATGGGATTAGAGTCAGCTTAAATTCAAAGTCAATCAAAACAGTGAACACTGCTATTATTTTGTTAGCTTAAATCATACCCAACAAGGGCTTTTCAGTTACAGTACTAGATAAATTATTATGAAATAAGCATTAATATTAGTAAAATACAATCATGAATATTACTTGCTTATTCATTCATTAAGTGATCATACTTTTACCGAATTCTAAATTTCATGGACCCTAATGTTGCTCTGACAACAAAGGATACATTGGCATCATCAATTAAACATCTGCACATGATGAAGTCGGCATTTGGTAATGTCATGAGAGCTTTCAGCAGGATCTGCATGGTGACTGTAGTTTGGTGATAGGCAGGGTTAAATTGATACCTAACATCAAAAAAAAAATCAATTTGTTAACCTGTTATTTGCAAAGTTTGTCTGTGAACACAGGCAAATTTCCAGCTGTTACATTCACCGAATTACTGCATTTGCAAACTACCTGAAAAAGTGCTTAATATGTGCTTAGTTTATAAAATATATCCAAAATTTTTAAAAACCAACACAACACAAAAATAATGCTCCATAACTTTCATTTCAGAAATGGCCACACTTCAGGATTTTGTGCCCACAGAAAAGATAGAATTACATTTCATGTCTCAAGGTTTCACTATAGCCTAACTCTGTGAGGTTTCAACACAACTTAAATCAAACAGCGTTGGTCTGTGGTTCATGTTTCCACAGCTTATTCTCTCAGCTTTCAAAACATTTCGATTTATAACTCTAGAAACAACCACAGAAATCATATGTTACTCACAATTTTAATACTGCTAGATTTGCATCCACATCATATGCATTATTATAAACCTAACAAAGACAATACGTGAAATAATGTGAAACACAATGTACCTTATAAAGACTCCACACAAGGGGATATTTTGTTGACCTTTATGCTACGTTTTGACTCAGAACTACTGGCATTAGCGACATTCAACTTCAGTTAACTACAAGTTAGTTTACCTAGGTCTTTAGATATTCATACCTGCAGATGAACATAGCTTTCAAGAGTTGTAAGATTTTCAGGGTTGTACCTAAAAATGTGACAAAATTGCCATTGTTAATTTAAGATTGAAATTTATAACTAGAGTGTAATCCCACTCTATGGACAACACACACTTAAAATACAGACACAATCTTATTTCAGGGAGCTTTGTTTATCCCAATGGAAAGCTCATACATGTTCTCTTACATTAGCCCCCTAAATACGGACACCATATCATATAGACAACCGACACTTTTCTTCGCCCCCAAGTGACACACTCTTGCATAAACTCAATTTAACTGATACTGATTATCTGTTCACTGAATAAAATCTGCTTATTGAACTCTTAAATGAAAGCTTTCTACAGGTTAATGTATTTTGTTCCTAAAAAAAGGTTACAAAATAGCCTTACTGTGTGACATGTTTGATGACTGTATCTTTCAGTCTGGTGTTTGACCCCCTGTAGACCCTGGTGCAAAACAGCTGACTATTTCAATAGGTATATGTTTCATTCAGTTTGAATCTAAATTACAGTTAGGACATTGAAAATTGTTCTCTTTCTTGCTTTAGTCTTTGAATAGATATAACAAGTGACTATTAATAACTCTCATGTCGATGCTGAGAGCCTAGTTAATACAGACACTCAGGTAACCCTAAAGTAACTGTTCTTTAGCTTTAAGATGTAGCCTTTACTTCCAGTTGTAATACGCTTTTTTATGTTATTGTTATTATATTTAAGCTTATTAATTTTCAGTTGTAACATGATGAATGATCACAGTTGTTAGAAGGCAATCACTTAACTGTAAGAGGTTAAGGCTGCGCTGTCTTGAAATTGAAGGAGCCATTTTAAGCTCACAAGCATAAAAATAAACTTGTCGACAAATGGACGATCGAGGGGAATCGGGAAGGGCATCTGTAACAGTTAACACATGAGTGACTGTCGTCGTTGTAAAGCTTATTGACAACCATAAATGGTCACGTACATTTTTCCCTCATATAACTAAAAGGGTTTGATCAGGACGTAACATGTCGATTATTTCGATAGTCGATAAAAATCAATCATTGTTGATCGTTGTTGATACTAATCAATTGACAAATATCGGAAATCGATAAAAGTCAATCACACAATTTATTGTGATTATCGACTTTGTTCGATTATGATTGATTTTGATCAATTTTGATCGATTTTGTTCGATTTCAATCAACAAGTATCCGAAATACAAAAAACGATGTATGGCATAGGCATATGTAGGTTGTGGACTGGTACAACAGTCACAGGCACAAGGAGAAGCAAGAGGCATACAAACTGGGAAAATTTAGCCAACCTAGCGGAGAGGGAGGAGAGTCGTAGCAGCTTGTATTTGTCACATGTTGAACTGAGTAAAAACACCGATGAAATAAAATATCAATTTACTTTACTTTACTTCTTAATTACTTTGCTTGCCTCGATTTTATCCCGCATCTAGTCTAAACTTTGGCCCGTTCTGTCCCCCCGAAGAAACACGACTTCGAGTTCCCAGGATCTCTCATCTCCTCCGCCTAGAGAGACCCTGGGAATTAGGTTGGTTTGAGTTATGTTATAGATCGCGATTTAGTTCAGCTGAAACTGTTAATCGATCATTTCTCAAGGTAATTTAAACATTCAATTCTGTAATGAATAACAGACCACTTGGTTGTTCAGGTTTTTATTTAGGTTTATTGCCATACAGATTCACTTTCAAGCTGTTTACACTCGGCATAAAAAAAGTCATTGGAGCTATTATTGCTTTGGTCACTTGAATTTCGTAGCTGATTGAA